ATTTCCTCATTTGGACGTTACTAGCTTTACCTGGGAAAGAGGTGGTTGGTTTCTTAAAAGTTTATTGTAATTAAGGCTAGTGATTAGTATATAATTTGGAAAGACTGTAGGTAAGTTCACCTTTTATGAAGTTGTAGCTTGTTGAACTCGCTTCATTTTTAATTAAATTTACCTGAAACAGCATTTCCCCAGCGCCTTAACAATGGGATAATTCCCCCGGTGAGTTATGGTTTATTCATCCCTTGAGCTATTTCGGTCCCAAAGTGTTCTCTTGAACCTTGCTCACCTGGTAATTAAAGTATATAGCCAAGTCACCTCTGGCTGGTCCAAGGTGTATTCACCGACGCATGCCCTGCATTCAGCTGTTTGGGGTTGCAACAACCAGGTAAATAACAACTCATACTGCTGGTCCTGATATTCTGCCATTAAAACGTCCCCGGTAAATAGCCAGCGTAGTGCTTTGAAACCCCAAGGATGTTGAGTTTGGGTTTTTTCAATTGTTCTGATGCTCGGCAGCATGCCCGGGAATGGGAGGCAGCATGTATATCACCTGTAGTGACCTGAGAGCCCATCAAAACTAAGTTTTCCTTCAAATAGATTCTTGATCACCGAGCACGGCCTCCTCGTGGAAAAAGGCCAGGCATACCTGGTGACGGGTCAGTGACTGTGAGGACGTGAATGTACTCACAGTGTGTGATTGCCCCAGTTCCCTTTTTCTGGTTGGCTGATGTCCTCTCTAGAACAGGATCTCATTGCAGTAGTTTTCAGATAAAGGAATTGAGCCGAATAGAGCCTCGTAGCTTGGTAATTAGCATTTAAAAGCAGAATGAGATTCTTCTGGGGTTCTTAAGCAGTAAAAAGTAAATGTCCATTTTCTCTAGCTTCTTTTGACTGTGCCCTTGGTCTTTGATTATTTAAGTTGTTAATTGGAGCACTAACTGGTCTCTTTGTTCGTTTTGCAATAATAGCTGTAATAGTAGAAGCTAGTTTGAGATGCTTGAACATGCTTCTAAATGATTGTATTTTTATCGCAAGTTCCTACTATTGATACGGACAATTCATTGTATGGTTTTTAAAATTATTATTACTCAGAAGTTTTGTGCATCTAATGGATGGATTGGTAACATTAGTTTGTGCTCCTTGCTGAAGTTTTTCTTTTAGAATTTAGTCATCCACCTTACTACTACTCATTAATCATGCCTGAATGAAAAATAGCACAATTTACATTACTTTGAAATTTGCTTTTCATTGTTCTTGAACAATTTCCCTGTGATGGGTTGATTTTTTAAGAGGAACCCCTTCTCCAGTTTTGCTTACATTTCTCTGAACTGTGTCTTGTGAGGGGCCCCGGTAGGGTAGCAGGTTACGCTGGGCTGCTTCACTACAAAGTCAGCAGTTTGAACCCACCAGTCCTTCTCTGTGAGAAAGATGAGGCTTTCCACCCCTGTACATATTTACAGTCTCAGGAATCCCGTTGGGTGGTTGTCCTCTGTCCTATAGGATTGCTATGAGTCAGTGTTGACTTGATAACAATGATTATTCTCTAAATAATTGAGTTTCTCATATTTTTCCATGAATTGTTGACAGAAGGTGCTGGACAAGTTTTTAGTCTCTCCTTATCCAGAATGACATATTTGGTTTCAAAGATGGTGTAAGCTAAAGGCACATTTGAATTTGAAACATAATCAGAGTAGTGACAAAGACCCACCCAACTCCCTGCCATCAGGTTAATGGGGACTCATAGTGACTCTGTATTGGGTTTCCGGGGAGCAAATCGCCTCATCTTTCTTCCTTGGAGCTGTTGGTGGGTTTGAACCTCTTACTTTGCAATTAGCAGTCCAATGTTTAGCCAGGGCCTTAGTGGAAAAAAGACAGTTGGGTGCATAAGGGAAATTTAAGGATGAAGTTCATTACTTAAACTATAAGCGTAATTGATTTTGTCAGCTCTCTCTTGTGTCTTTGATCACTTTACCCTTACTAACAGCTATATTGGTTCTTTTATATGTGTGAATTAGACTATTATCTTGATTTTTCCCCTTTACTTTCTAATTCGCTTATGAAATAATGAGGTTGGCCAGCCTTCTCTGGTTTTTCTTCAAACGGTGTGTACATTTAAAGACCTTGTTCTTTTTCTTCTTCCCTCTTTCTACCAACTTTTCCATTTCCAAAAAACAAAAATAAATTCTACAGTATCCCCTGAACTCCTCCAAATTGGTAATACCATCAATCCCCATCTCATTGAAAATAAACTTTCTGAACTTAGAATGCATTGAATCCTTTTCTAAACAACAGAGGCCACCAGTCGATTTTGACCCATAGTGACCATTTGTAGAACTGCCCTTACTAAGGCTGTCAAGGGTGTGAATTTCTGGAATCAGATGGCCAGGACCTTCTTCTGAGTTGCCTTTGGGTAGGCTCCAATCTTTGGGTTGGTAGTCGATGCGTAAGGGTTTATGCCACCCGGGAACGCTAGTCCATGTTGTCATTCGGTGCTGTTGAGGCGGTTCCTAGTCATTGGGGCTCATTGTGCGCTAGAACTGCCCATACGCTTTTCTGGGCTGTAATCTTTATTGGGAGCGGATTGCCAAGTCTTCTCCCACGGAGCCACGGGTTGGCTTCACACCTCCAACTTTAAGCACTTAACCGTTGAACCATCAGGTCTTCATTTCCAGATATCTCAAGAAAAATTCTGTGCCACTGAGTTGATGCCAACTCATCGCAACCCTATAGGACAGGGTGGAACTGGCCCTGTGAGTTTCCCAGAGTGGAACTCTTTATGGGAGTAAGAGCCCTGTATTACTCCCTAAGAGCAGCTGGTGGTTTTAAACGACTAACCTTGTAGCTAGCAGCCCCACAGGTAACCACTACGCCACAGGTATGCATACTTAGTTTGTTATTCTTTATTGAGGAGGGGGAGTAGGACGAGTGCAATGTGGAATGAGATGAAACGGTACCTTGATTCAAGTATGCGCGCCTGTCTTCTTTCTAAGGATTGGAACTCTTTGCCTGACTACTAGGAAACTTAGCAAACCTTGAGCTTGGACGAAGGTAGTTGCACTAACTTTAAAACGAGCATAGTGCTATTACTATGGCTGTGCACACTGTGTGTCAGGTACTGGACTGAGCGTCTTACTTGAGTTGCCTTGGCTAAATCTCATAATGGCTGAGTGAGGTCTTCATTTAATAAATGAGGGAATTGAGTCTTAGGTTAAATGTTTGTTCAAGGTCGCATAGTAGGTTACAGATTTGGGGCTTTACCTCAGGTATGTCTGACATCAGAAGGCGAACACTTCACCTCTATCTTCTATTTGGTCTTCTTGCTCCTCATGATATACTTCTGTTTTACTGACAACATACACAGCAACGTAGTCAAACCTTTAAACCCATGGCTTCTGTGAAATTTCCATGTACCATATATACCCGAGTATAAGCCAACCCAAATATCAGCCAGGCCACTTAATTTTACCACAAAAACTGCGTTAATAATGTGCTGAAGAACTCAGCTTATACACGAGTATATACGGTAACTAATCAATTTTTCAGCCACTTTGATCCACAATTAAAGGCATTTTATTAGCAGGGTTTGCAAGTCAGAACATAAAGGTTCATTTTCAGACCTTTTTATGCTTACATTATACTGCATAGCCTTGATGAACTACTCTAAACTGTTTTTTCCCTATTGCCAAGATATGCCTTTATCTTGTTTTTTTCTAATGAGCATCCTGTACAACTCTGCCCCTGTGTATGCCATGCAATCATTCTTTCTCCTTGCCCCTCCCCCCTTTTCTTCACGACAGGGTAGACTAACTCTGTGGGAGCAGAAAGCCTGTTTTTCTCGTGAGGAGTGGCTAGTGGTTTGGAAGTGCTGACCTTGCAGTTAGCATAACCACCACACCACCAGGGCTCAGCGATAAGGTAATAAATCCAGTAAATCCTACTGAAGGATTAGGATGATCTTAGACATACTAAGGCACAGCAGTGTAGGAAAAGGACAAGCTACATTGCAGGGCGCTACTCTTGTGTGAGGAAGCCCTCTTGGGACAGTGGTTATAAGGACTTTGCTGCGGACCAAAATGTCAGCTCTTGGAGAAAAATGTGGCAGTCTGTTTCTGTAAAGATTACAGCTGTGGGAACCCTGGTCCTATAGGCTAGGTCCTGTAGGCTTGCTGTGTTTGGAACATCATTACGAAATATTCAGATAGGGTAAGAATAGAGCTGAAAGGTAGTTTGAGGACCATCTAGTCCAGAGTGTGCCAGGTTTGCCAAACGATAGTTACTTGGGCCACTTACGAAGAATAAGACCCAGAGCCTCGCTCAGAGATGTCCTGCACCAGAATCTCCAGGGACAATCCTTGAAATCCGGATTGTTAGCAGCTACCTTCAGACAGGTTTTATGGGTGGGTGAGTTTAGGAAACGCTGTCTAGTCAGCCTCTTAAATAGGGAAAGGAAAATAAACTCCAGGAGAGGGGTGGTGGTGGTAAGGTGCTGTCCAGTTGGTTCAGACT